ATACCAGTGCAGACGTTTCAACGAACGGCTTCCGCAGATCTGACAGTCACAATGGCACGTACTGTATGCCCACAGAAAGTTAAACACGCAGCTTCCGAAATAAACGTTAGTTGTAGCGTAGACAGCTGTGTAAAACGTGTGCGATTTTGAATAGAATGCAGAAATTGCAGGAAATACTTCCATTCTCGATGCGCTCGCCTTAGTCTCGGCCAGATAAGAAAGCCTAATAGTACGACGGATTCGCTCTGGTTCTGCACTGAGTGTACCTCTCTGCTAGTCGTCAAATATATAACTGTGTTGACGCAGAAGTACGATAAGCTGACAAAGATTGTAGAGCCGGCAGCAGCCGTGAAAACTGTCCCCCATGAACTAGAAAAGCAATGCGTCGGACTCGATGCTCAATGTCAAACTCAAATTCAGTACAGTGTAAGAGTAACGATCCAGAGATGGCCACTGCGACACTAGCGTCTCCTCAAAAAGGTGCGTTCGCCACACATTCCTCAACAAAATACCCCGCCACCCTAAACATAGTTAGAGGGCCGATAACCTACGCGTCCGTTGTTGCTACCCATATAAAGGAGGCACTTCTCATTGCAACCCCGCCCGCTGCCCATACCACCACGGGACTCAAGACCCCATCACTTGTCTAACCAAAGAAAGTAGCCACTGGCCCCTCCAAAAAGAAGAACATGAAACACTGCCATAATTTTCTAACTGTTATATGCTCTAATGTGACTGAATCCGGGGCGAACTCTATAAAAGATAAGATACTAGACGACAAAAGACAGTGGGACTCCCTGTGTCAGCTACTAGAGTTTCAGGCTAAACCCGTCAGTATGATTCGTCCGTCACACAAATTCCGTACACTACGGGGAACCGCGGTTACTCCAGGTAACAGTTCAGTCAGGTACTGATGCAGAGGCAGTTGTCTTGTCAGACACTCGCGTCTGTACCACCACATGCACTGTTCGGATATTTCCAGAGGTTCCTTCTAGCGAACGCCAGAAACGCAAACAAAACCCGAATGACTTCCGTAAACAACAAAACGCAAAATCTATCCTTGTTCACGGTGTCCCCGAGCTCCAGTCAGTAAGCAAACTAGAGGTCAAAGGGCATGACTAGGATGAATGGCGTTTTATTCGTGAAGTTGCTTACACTCGAAAATGTTATCGGGACTTTGACATCAAGTTTACCGATATCACCTAACTACAAAAGGTGTGATTCCTGAGTGATGAAAGTATCATTGCACTCCGAACTGATGGCAGAACATGTGATCAAGATGTGGCACAAAATGCTTAAAATGCTGCCATCCGAAATACGTATAACGGCAATAGACACCGGGCCACAGATAGACAATGTAACACTGAGCAAGAAACTTACTAACACAAATCTGCCACAGTGTAGCTCAAAACGGAAACGATGCTAAAACACACCGACAGCTGAAGTAGGACAGGATAGTCACGCTTTTGTTGGTGCTGAGAGCTCTATACACCAACCTGAACTGGCCCCAGGGCCTGCGTCATCGCGCCTACAAAAAACGACCGCCAGCCGACCCCGCATGGGTCAGATAGACCCATTCGCACACACGCTTCTGATTACCGATGCCCCCACCTGCTTGTATACCAAAGGACAAGGTCTTCTCAACAATCTAACCGAAATTCGTATTCGTCAGGTCTACACGCCTTGGGATCTAGTTAAGGTCACTGCAACATGGCTGAACATGGAGAGCACGGATGGTGAGATTACACTACGCGGCATGAATTCCATACGAAACGATGGTCCTAGCAGAGGAGGGGGAGTGCTCCTGTATTATCTGTCCGACCTACATGTCGATGTCATTGAGCATCCAGAAACGAAAGTCGTCCATACTCTTTGGTGTCGTATGCACCTAAGACGTGATGATGTGATTTTACTTGCAATAGTTTACCGCCCTCCAACGTCCACCTTGGAAGTGTATCAATGCCTAGATTCTGCGACAAAACGCGTCCTGGCACGACCATACATTCACCTCCTTCTGGTGGGGGACTTCAACCTGCACGCAATCAACGTTGCAGCATCCCATAGCGAACAATTCAAGGCGGATTTGCAAGAGATCATCGTTGATGTATCTCTGTACAACCATGTCACCACTCCCACGCGATTCCGAACGGGTGACACACCTGTTTTTGACCTTGTACTCTCCAAACATGAACTATTGGTCGACATCGCGATCATAGATACACCACTTTGACGTAGCGATCACCCGCTGTTGCTCTTTCCTTACATCTGTTACGGAGTACATCAGTGAGAACAACGTGGAAACCTATGCCGTTACACATTACGATAAACTGTTCAACTTCGTTCAAAAAACCGACTGGTGCTTCCTTGCCGAGAAGCCGCCCAATGTCGCCTGGATCTTGTTCGTCACCCAATTCACTGAGCCAATGGGAAATGCTTCAGAAAGCAAAGTCCTTCGCCTGAAGCAAGTGAATTCGTTCCTGAGGAGCCGTACTAGAAAATACATGGCCTTAAGGGATTCAGCCTGGCGCGCTTACAAAGCCTGTCCAAGTAATCTGACCTGGGATGCTTACACAACTCAACGAAACCACTGTGTCAAGTTGCTCCTCGATGACAAACTCCAGCACCAACAGAACTTAGCGTTAGAATTCAGTACGAGTTCCAAGTTTCTGTATAGACACGTCAACAATCTCCGCAGAGTGCAGCGTGGGATCCCGGTTTTGGGTGCAACAGATGGTCTTGCGCAAACCGCACAAGGTGCAGCCAACGTGATTCACCAACACTTCATCCATTCTTTCGGGAGTGAACAATCATTTCATCCGCTTGTAACACTGCTTCCATCGACATCAGGGATAAACCACGTGTCGTTCACGGCAGCCAATGTGGTGAAAACCTTAATGTAATTGAGCGTGCTTAGCTCACCTGGCGTGGACGACATCAAACCGAAGGCCTTGAAGACAACGTCCATGAACCTTGCCGAACCATTAGCTCGGTTCTTTCAACGTTTTCCAGACGAAATACTGGTTCCGACAATGTGGAAACATGGACTAGTCAATCCTATTTACAAAAGTGGTAGACATTCGGAGCCCTCGAACTAAGGTCCAATCACTCTCCTCCCAGCTTTAGCCGAAGTAATGGAGCGCATAATTGCAGAGGCACTCATGGGATATCTTGAGAGCAACCACATCCTAGTGTCATAGCAACACGGATTCCGCCGAAATTGATCCTGCACTACAAACTTGCTGCCACCCTGAGCAAGCTGGACTGAATCAGCCGATGCCAGAGTGGGGGTCAATGTTATCTACCTGGACTTCTCTAAAGCGTTCGCTCTTTTAGACCACCGAATTCTCCTACACAAGCTTTGTAGCTATGGAATCGGTGACCCAATACTCGGACGGATAGACAACTTCCTCACTCAACTTAAGGTGAATGTGAGTGTACGCAGTTAAATTTCCGATTCAATTGGCGTCCGGTGTGGCGTAACTCAAGGGTCGGTGCTGGGGCCGCATTTATTCCTCACATCCATTAACTAGCTTGGCAGTGTACTGTAGTCGAATTTCTTGCTATTTGCAGATATCAAAATATGGCATAATATCAGGACATCAGATGATCACATGGCATTGCAGAGCGATCTCGACGGGGTTTATTCATGGCCATCCGACAACCGGCTCCAGTTCAACGTGACCTAGTGCAAAGTCGTAAGCATTCGCCATCAGCTTATCTATGAATATCGACTGGGGACCAGCAGTTACAACGTGCTTCCCAAGAAAACGACCACGGGGTGATCGTGCAGGACAACGTTTTCTGCTCGAGACAAGCTGTAAAGGCATCAAAAGGAGCCAGTCAACATCTTGGACTCTTACGCAGGGCTTTCGGCAATTTTAAGCCATCAATCTTTCCGCAAATGATGCACACCTACGGGAGGCCTCACCTGGAATATACGATCCAGACCTGACGTCCCTGGCACAGGCGCGACATCGATGCACTTGAGGATCCGCAACGTAGAGCGACTAAATTCGTTAGAGGATTCCTTCATCACTCCTATCAACACGGACTGTAGTCCCAGAGATTGTACAGTGGTGAATATCGACGTCAGCCAGGAGACCTAATCACAGTTTACTTAATACTGAGGAACCCAACTCACCCATGTCGCAATCTGTTGTAGCTGAGCCGAAATACCAACCTGAGAGGTCATCAGCTCAAACTGGCCATGCACTACAGTCGACTTGATTTTCGACTCAACGTTTTCTCCCTCCCTGTGTCTCATGCCTGGAATGCCCTTCCGGCTCACGTTATCCTTGCCACTACATTAACTCTTTTCAAAAAACGCCGTGATGAAACGCTTTCAAACTTTCATTACTTGATATAGTCTGTTCCACCTGGAGAATGAAACAACCTAAACCTAATCATGTGCTTAACGGCCCTCTCCGCAACGTGGCGATGAGGATACATGTTGTCGTGTCCATGTGATTAGCCTGGCTGTAGCTAAACCGGACTAACCTATCATATCTGTCAAATGAAGAAACAAACGAATGGGCGTTGTCGTTTCTTTTTTATTTCTCACACACTTACTGAACTTTGACAGCTCTCTATAATATTTTGCGTGTGCAGATCCAATTCCCACTTCAGACTGTCGTTATGCAGTAGCGCATTTAACTCAGTGGACGCTTGAAATAACTGTTTACTTATTCCACGATCCTACAAATTTTAAATTTTACTCCATCCAACCTACGGGACTTTTGAAACATGCTATTTTACCAGTGAAAAATCATTGTTCATTGTTCATGGCATACGTACGCGCTTTTGTTTACTAACTAGGTGAGGAACGTTGGTAAAATCACCTCGGGTAGCAACTGTCACAGCTTCGTTATTTAGGAAACGCGTAGCACCTTTACACCAATGTACTGCTGCTTTTTTCATTTACATCGTCCTCCGCCTCTTCATCAAGTTATTTTCGACATCAGGTAATAAGCTCACTGTGAAGCTTCTCTGCCGTTTATTTTCTACCGTTCACCTGGTGGTCGGGGATTCATCACAGTCGGAGGTGGGGCCTGGATTTCGGTTGAACCTTCAAGATTCCCAAATTGTTCCTCTGCATGAGTGCTACTTGTCAACGTCAAGCTTGCTGAGGTCGGGGCCGCGGTAGTTGTCATACTTGTGCCGGCACTGTCCAAGTATGAGACGTCATTATGTTGCTCCATTATAGCGTTCAGGTAGGCGGGTTGCGAGACTACCGGCAGTTTCAGCTTTGCACTCCGATTGCTCATGTTGAGACGGCGAACATTTTTCTCCGGTTGAAAGTAAATGATATAGAGCTTGGGGAGGAACAGGCAGCTCAACATCACGCTCGCACTGAGGCTGATCGAGATACACAATGTGGCGATCTGTATCTATAGGTAACAGTGTGGAAGAGAGTAAGTAGAGTGAGTGAAAGAAGCATATGAGATGTTCGCCAGCTGCGCGGATTACCAAATACATCACCTCATAGGAACAGGGTTGCAAGGGACAAGTGTGTTTCAGCGCAGAATATATTTTAGTCTCGATGAGTGAACTAACTAATGCTGAAAACAAAATCCTGGGTGATAGCCGAAACCCACCAACAACAGCCCTTTGTCCGTAATTTGTCCAGCTACGTAAGAAGAGTGTTAGACGTAGAATATAGACTAGGAATAGGTTGTGACTAGTAAACACGCAGAAGGTTTCTGTTTTCGCAACGGATGTACCAACGGACGCCGCGGATTTTTGGGTTACCGTGTGGATTCCAGTTTCTCTTCCGGATTACTCTGTTATACGTGACTTTTCTGTGTGAATTGTACATCAATATTTATCTTTTAGTGCATTCTTCAATCGGTGCAAATTTGCTGGATGTTCTCTGGCTAATTTCGGCATTCACCTTGATTAGCTCAATTGCCATCTGTGTCCGCCATTTTGGATTTGATGCACGTCTGGACACGTCCGTTGAATTGTGGTTATTATCGAAAAACATAGCCGTGGGATTTAACCCACCTATCAAACTCCAACTGCGACAAAGCACACAAGGTTCGTACTCATTGCATAGATATGTTCCCTTCGCGCTTGAGTCTGAATCTTGACAAGCTTAGATTGCAATGACCTCACTAAAGTCTCACCGTATTCAGCAAGCTTAGCGTAGTGTACTTTCCACAACATCAGCAAAGCGAATAAAATATGAGGTCTCAAAAGAAAAGCGAATCTGTTCCTCGGCTAAAAGCATACTCATTGCAGAACTAAGTGATAAAATGATTCCTTTTTAATCAAAACTCAAATATAAAAATGCTAACACACACTGAAACCCTCAAAAATCACCTGATTGGCTTGACTACATCGATAACACATTGGAAAAGACTGATCCTGTTCTAATGAGAAAAGCAGGGCAGTTAATTGGCTCTGTTGCCTTTGAAGTGTACCAACGAACAGGTAGAGCGAAAAATGTGATTGCTTTTACTGTTCCGGACAGGTTGGGTCTGGGTAAAATAAAACTAAGGATACTGAAATCCTGTGACATGTCTGCCGTTGACTGCAATATCAATGTTTAAAAATAAATACACTGACACGTTGTGGTCCAACCATTTTCAATTTTTTGAGCGGGGAAGTCGTGCACCGATTCCTCCATTGTGCACCCTTTCTAGGCCAGTGCACTCAAGTTAACGGCGTTTTGAATAAACTAGATAGCGCACCCCTACAAAAGTCAAAACTTGGCAATGTGCCGCGAACACCGGAACAAATAACTGGGCTCTTTGAGAAATCTCATCCAAACATCCAAAAGACGAGTGTATCCAAGGTGGATACTAAGTACATTAATTTAGACATTGATAATCTAACAACGTTGTCAACTAGCTTCAAAGCCGTCTTTCCTTGCTCCACTGAAACACCCTCTGCACAAGGAACGGATAAAGCGGGTTCTTGTAATCCTGACAACAGCACTCCCATTAAATTGAACTCCTCATGCATAAAGGTTAAGGAAATGTCTAAATTATTGGAACAGTGGAGTAATGACAACTCGTTGAATAGATCACAACCCAGTTCAAACCAACAAGGATAGACAACCTGATGTAATTCATAGTCCACTGTCCCCCAAGGACCAATTCTCCAATCCAAGGATCTGTGTATTTAAAAAACCTATCGACACCATATAATCGGTGGCAGCCAAAATTCCCTATCGACCAATCTTCTGCAACCACCAGGGCAAAAATGCTTCCATGTTGTATAAGACCAATAACAACTGTTTCCTGCCTACGCCCATTTATCATCCCAAGCTCCACAACAATCACGGAAAGTGCACAGATAAGGGAAGAACATCGGCCATTATGACTATGATACCACCAGCTCCGTTCCATGCTCCTTCAAGCTCTCATGCAGCTTCTTCCATGAGGCATTTTTAGTGACGACTTGAATGGACTTGAACGCATTCTCATCTTAGATACATCGGCGGTGGTCAACATCTTGATCCCAGTCTTATTCCAATTTGTCCAGATGACGAAGCTAGTACATTGTCAGAACGACAACAACCTAAGCATGATGCCTCGGTTCCCGTCGTGCCCCCAACTTTCGCGAACTCCACATATGACATGCTACCCTTATCAATAGATGTTCTAATGCCTAACTCGGACTCACCATACTCGCACTTACCTACCACGTACACTATGCCCGAACGCAAAGATTCAGACGATCACAAAACGGAGAGCGATAATTCCCAAATACTTAGTACTTGTTTAGTGTTTCTGATTAATGTCAGATCAATAATCAACAAACTTTATTTTATAAGCACATTTGCACAGTTCATTCACCCACAAACCATCTTCGTCACTGAAACGTGGTGTTCTTCAGATACACTTGACTCTACTCTGATGATTCCAAACTACCATCTATTTCGAAAAGATCGTTACGACAGAAAAGGTGGAGCGTCTATTATATACATACACAAAATATTTACAGCTAAACCTATAGATCACACAAAATTCGAAAATACCCCTGAATCTATTTGGCTGTCATTTGCGGGTGTCTCATCTTAAACACTAGTCGCATGTATCTACAACCCACCGAATGCGTCTGATTTGGGTATCACCAGCAGCACTTCCGCATTTGACTTCGTATCAGAGTTGCCACACAACCAGAAGATTATTGCCGGCGATTTCAACCTACCAAAAATACGCTGGTCATCCCACCCAAAGTCTAGCTTGCACGCCTCTTTCTTTCTTCGGTCACAGCTGGGGACTAGACACAACGGGTTACCAGTCCAACCAGGTCCACCAATAAGCTGGACTTAATATTCACATTGGGGATGCCCAATCCACAGGCAGAGATCTTACACAATCTCCCTGGCAACGACCATAACATGATCCGACTCATTTTCCAAATGAAAATGGTTACTAAACTCGCCTCTACACAGCCAGTTGCGACCCATAAGATAAACTGGGAATGCTTTCAGCAGTTCATTCGTTTCACCGACTGGGATGTATATATTTTCTCCACCAGTATGTACACCGCTGAGGAGCAGTTTCATATACAAATCCGTCACGCAATAGCCCTCCTTGCTCCAAATGTATTCATACACCTCATATCTCGAAATATTCCGTCAAGTACTTAATTAGCTAGAAAACCAGTAGGTTAGCTGCAAGCTACAGAAAGACCCATGACCTTCACTTGCCTTACAAATGCACGAATTTACCACCAAAGTCAAACAAACGCAATTAAGACGACGATTAAATGAAGAACATTCAGCCCTACGGACAAGTTGCAAAGCTATGCAGCTTGTCAAAATACTGCATCGTAGAACCAGTGACCGCTCTCCTTTGCTTACCGAAATCGTTGATGGTGAGGCTCACTTACTCCATGACCCAACTGAAATCTTTGAAGCATTCAGCGACTTTTTGCTACTAGCATTAGTCGCGAAGCTGACCAGGTGCCTGTGTACACAGGGCTCACATTAACAAACCACTTAACAGAGTCGATATCTCCAGACAATTCATCGAGCCCAACGGAATTTGGTTAACCATAATAAGCGCTTGTAGCGGCCCGCTCATCGTCGCCTGTTGCCTCACGTCGCATCAGTTTGCGCTGTCGGTGTTTTCGCCGACACTGTGTAACAGTTTGTTCCACACCGTTGGATTTACACCATTTCTTTTCATTTTGACGAGTTTTACTTAGATAACGCATCCTCTTAGGAATAATTTCAGTGCCGCTTGTTTCCACCGGGGTTTATAACTTTATAGCAGATTTTCTTATTTACTTACATGCATGATTTTGAAGTTACCAACAATCATCTCCTATTCCGGCCAAATTCGGTAGAAGAATATCCCAGTTTGCCAATCAGCCCTATATATCTTATTTCAACACTGCATGTAGTAGCTACAAATCAGATTGCATTACTATTGTGGACGCTTCTCAGTCAACGGTAAACTTTCTCCCGTCTCAATTTTAATCATTGTGATCAACCAACATAACCAATACGACAATTGCGAGCACGATAGTGGTTCATTAGCTGCCAGACCAGCGAAAGAAGGACAGACGACCGAAACGTGTAAGTCGAGACGTGCCAGTTTTGTGAAATTGAGCTAAAAATCAAACAATGGAACAATGGTTTAAGACCGAAAATAGCTCTGGACCTTAAAATGTTCAGTGGGAAGGTCATTGTAAATATTGAATTGTATGAAAAGATTGTCAGCAAAAGTAAGTTCCCACCGGTGGACTCACCGTGCTGTACGTTTTATAAACTGTAAATCCCCTGCAAGTCCATAAAAAAGGACGAAAATTTGGACGTATGTAAACTATGTCGCCTCATGATCTATATATACATGAGGTGCATAAGGTGGAATATATTTTGGGAGTTGACCGGCAATGAAATCTTTAACAGATACTCATGTTCAGTCATGAGTAATGAGCAGTGTGATATGGTGCAGCGAAATGAGCGCACGGTGAACTTGGGCTTTGAGCAGTACCAGAGGGGGAGCACAGATGATTCATACCGCTAAGGCACTGCACGCTTAGAAAGCTCGTACAGAAAACGAACCCGACGGCATTCCAAACGACGGCACTGCTCTGCCAGCTTGAAATAGAGGTCTCTCGGATTACTGTTGTGACAGCTCTAGCAGATGGGGCCATGTGACCAGCACAAGACCGAGAGCATTGGAGGTACGTTCTTGAAGTGCTCTAACCAGAAGATATCAATGCTACTGCGTTGACAAGAATTTCCGTGTCTACTAATTACAAATGATGTGGGTCTAGTTTGCTAAGGCTGGTTTTATAGTCTGAGGTGACGGTACAAACCATCCTAGAGAACTGGGCTAAGTTCCATAATATGCCGCCAACGGAAACTCGACTGGAGACAGTAGGGACACGACCACGGGCTACAGATTATTCAATGGGGGTGGCA